CACCTCCATCTCCATATAGTTGTTAAAAGTTGATGAAACCAAAGGATATGGCCAAAAAAGCTTTTATAATCTAAATAACCAAGAAAAAGCTCTTGAAAAGGAGACCATCAAAAAGCTGATAATTACTCAACCCCCAAACCAAAAACCAAACGCTAAAAGCCGAACACATCACATTTTCCAATCCCATTAACACTCTCTCTTTCTCTCTCCTCTTCACTCTCTCTCTTTCTCTCTCCTCACCTTTTCAATGGCGGCATCATTACAACAACAGCAGCAAAAGAATGGTGTAATCATGGAAGAAACCCAGACAATATACTCAACTTACTTGGGAGTTAGCTTTGCAGTGTTCTTGTCATTGTTACCTGATAATGTCATGTCATTGCTGCCAACTCTTCAGTCTCGAAACCATTACCTCCTCCACCGCCTTCGGAAAGCGGAGGAGGAGCTCTTCGAGCTGCGGTCGAGGCGGCAGGAGGATTCCAAGGCGAACGCTCGGGTGGTCGAGATCTTCGCCACCCATCGTAACGCCTGGCAGCAGGAAGAGCGTCGCCTCCTCCGCCGCCTCGACGAATCAGCCGAAGAGATCTCCCGCCTCAGGTCACGCCTCTCTGAGGTCGAGACCCGCGAGGCTCAGCTTCTTGCTGAGTCTGATGACCTGAGGCGGGAAGTTGGGGAGCGAGACGAGCTCCTCAACTTCATGTCCCGCCACAAAACCCATGAAATGGGCGAAGCCGGGGAGAGCGAGAGTGTCAGTGGGGAGGAGAGAGATTGGGGTGGTGAAGATGAAGGAAATGGGGGTGTGAAATTGATGTTTGGGAATCTGGGTAATGGTGATTATAATGATGGGTTTGATCCTAATTACTTGTCTTCTGGTTCTAAATTCTGGGGTGAACCTCGTTCTCCTCCTAATTTATGGCAGGTTAGCTAAAATCCTTTTTCTCTCTTATCTCCTCACTTGCCTAATTTTAGCAGAATTCTGTAACACTTTGTTTGGATAGGAAGAAATGGAAGGAAAAGAAGAGAAGAGAAATGGAGGGGGACAAAATCTCTTTTCCCTCTCTCTATAATAACCATAATCTCTCCAAAATTGGAGAGATTTGGAGGGAAAAATGGAGCTCACCTCCCCCTCCCTTTCTTTTCCCTTCCCTTCCTCCATTCTCCCTCCCCTTCTTTTCTTTCCTTCTTTGCTATCCAAACAAACCGTAAATATTAGGGAATTTAATTTTGTGTATAATTGTTACTTTTGTTCTTTAAACAATATGATTAATGCTGGATTTAATTTTACAATGTAGTTCAAGTTGTTTGTACTTGGCAGTTGTAATTATGGGTATTCTTCAAGCTGAATTTATTGTATTCATGTGATTCACCACTTCTTTTTGTTAATGTCTTCTCTCTAGTAGTATCTAGCTAGTTTGTGAGGTTCAGATTGTCACAAATCTCCGAAACGAACAGGATGAACTTTGTGTTAATGTTGTTTTTTTTTAGTTGGTATGTGATTAGCATTGGATTTGTGGTTGATGAATTATTGTTCCGTATTATGATGATTTTTGTGGATAAAACGTTGTCCCTTGTGCAACATGTGAAGTAAATTATATGTCCTGTATGTTATTGTGGTGGTATCATTAATTCTTTATCCTTACAGCGGGGTCTTAATGTTTAGTCTTTGGATTGGACTATTATAGTGTTCATTTACAGCTGTAAGTGGGACTTTGATTCTGTGGTGTGTGTACTGTTAGTTGTTACAGTGTTGGGTAAATTATACTTTGTTATGCTTCCTTTGTAATGTTCGATTCATCCTTGGCCTAGAATTATGTGGAGTCTCCATCATATCATAATCATAGACTTTTCTCCTAAAACTTCCATTATCCTTTCCCTTGCGTAGTTGAGTTACACGACTGAACTGCATTATGCCAGCATTATTTTGCTCTCAAACTGAAAACTGAAATGTTAATACTTGTAGCAACAAGGAATGGTATACGAAGTATGTAATATGTTCGTATGAAAGAAGATTTTAGACTTCAGAAATTGGCCACATAGAAACTTCTGTTGTACCATGTGCCCCACATTTGTATTTAGAATGGAAAATAAAAAAGGAGAATTTCTATTGTTCTTACAATACAAAGTATGTAATATGTTCGTCTAAAAGAGGATTTTAGACTTCAGAAATTGGCCACATAGAAACTTCTGTTGTACCATGTGCCCCATATTTGTCTTTAGAATGGAAAATAAAAAAGGAGGATCTCTATTGTTCTTGCAATACAAAGTATGTAATGTGTTTGTATGAAAGAAGATTATAGACTTTAGATATTGGCCACATAGGAACTTCTGTTGTACCATGTGCCCCATATTTGTCTTTAGAATGGAAAATAGAAAAGGAGGATTTCTATTGTTAATGAATCTTGACGTTTATGTCCATCTTGTATCCCACCTCGTGCCACCTCTTTGTGTTTCAATTATATCGCCAACTTCATTAGTCATGGGTAACATGATGAGGCATCAAATAAGATAAAAAGATCTCTGTCAGAACTCAGAACGTTGGGGTTGTTTAGTCTTGTGATTGTACCACTTGGCTTAGATTCAGTAATATCTTTCTTTCTTGTGAGCAAAAACTTTGGTTATGCTTGTTCATACAATCAATAAATGCTATGTATAATATGCTGTTTTGCTGCTTACTTTGCTGGTAGAAAGAGTCTTACATTGCAAAATTTTGTTTTGTAGCAGGACATGCAATATGATTCGATTGAGCCCGCACATCATGTAAAGCATTTTGTAGTAAGGTAAAACCTCTCCTCCTGACATGTAAGTCACAAGTAAAAGAGATGATAAATAATCAGCATGTAAAAAAAGTAAAATTTCTTCTTTTGCAGGAGAGAGTCCCCATGGAAGATTGATGGTGAATCAACAGGAGTTCCATCCAAGTTGAAAGTGCTTGAGGAAGAGCTACTTAATTTGGAAAAAGTAGGGAGGAGCAATTCACCAAAGGTGGCCTCATCAATGAGGAAGCAAGCTAAGCGGTATCAAGAGCTTTCCGGAAAGATTGACGACCTTTGCAGGAGAATGGTACGGAGTAATATTGATCATTCTAATGCTTGTTTAGTTCTTTAGATCTGCTAATCAAGGTTACTTTTACTGCTTGAAAATAGAGTATATTCATTTTTTGTCTGCTATTATATGCACTCTTGAATCTGATATTTTTCCTTAACTGACATCCTAGCCCCTGGAAAAGATGATTAGAGTAAATTCTTCTTAAGAACCTGTCAAGTGTCAACTAGTTAGAGACTAAGAGATTTTTAGAACCAATTAGGATTCAGAATTATGTCTCACAAACCCATGCAGTTTAAATTTTAGACTTGGTCCTTAGGTTTGAGATTCCATCTAGCCTTTAAAGGCCGATTTTGTAGGCACTAGGCTTATTAACGACTATAATGACAATGGATTGTATGAACTTGAAATCCCTTAACCCCTCATTTGTGAAAAAGTAGGAGAGATATCATCCACTTTGTAAGCTTAGTAGCTATTACTCCCATCACCAACTAACTCTAAGATGACTTTCTTTTGGACTTTCCAGGCCCATTATCTTCTCTATAATTTTGACGGTGTCCTTAGCAATATGCAACCTGTATCCCTTGATTTCTTCTTCAATTTTCCAGCATCATCTTTTACCATTATAGTTTATAGATGTATTAGGCGGGATGGACCAAATAGTAATATGTGAAGAGAAACATGTACTTCGAAAAATTGTGTCATCACTATGGCATCAGGTTTTTCCGTAACGAAATGGAAAGAAAATCATTATTATCATCAACCAAGCAAGCAATTGAAATATGGAAATAAGATGTGCTGTTTTCTCCAAGGAATATATGCCCCCTTTCTCCATTCATGAGTCATGACCCAACGTCCCAACCCCAACCTCAGCCTAAGAAAAAACAGGGGAATATAGAAAGGTGTAGGTGGGGTAAGAAATACTGGACAGCAATAAACTTTTTATCACTTTAGAATCATCTAAATTCTAAACTATCTAAAGTCTTTTGCGTAATAAAGTACGTGATTGTAAATTGTGCAATTCTTGGTTCCTGCAGCAAGCTATTGATCCCAGTGAACCTACAATGAGTTCCGAGTTTCGATCACAGAGACAAACAGAGTTTCTACTTGAAGCATTTCAACTCCAGCAACGCGCTTCAGAAACTGGGAAGAAGCTCATGGCATTACAAACTGAGATATATACTAGTTGTATTGGGGATGAGCTGGGGGTTGAAACAAAAGTTGCCATGAAACGGTCCCTTGACAGTATTCGGACCAACTTCAAGGAAATCCAAAGAAACTTAGAAGTATGGTTGGCCAGAATTATGGGAGATCTTGAAGGAATTCTAGCTAGGGATGGTGCTTCTCGTTCAAGAGACTATTTTTGCCCTAGATATCCGTATGTTAATAGTTACAGCTAACTTATGACTATGTTAATGTATCAGTCCTGGTGTTTTGCTGATCCTTAAGCCAGGAAGTGGTCTTAGGATTGTCATGTAAAAATGCAAAATCTTCATGTTGATAGTGGATCAGGTAGGTAGGTAAATAATCTCTTAGAAACAGATGTTCCCCCTGACCCTGTAACATTTAGAGAAGCTTCAAAGCTTGTGCTCAACCAAACTATATATGTACGCTAATTGTATACAGTGATTTTTTTGATGGAAAAATGGTATTCGGGTTTGCTAGTCCTACAATTTTCCTCGTCATAGGATGTTTCAATATTGAACACTGAATCTGTAATACTGTTTTCAGTCATACAAGTATAAATCGAGCAATACATCAACCTCGGTTTGGTTCAGTGACAGGATATTTGTAAAATTTATTTAAGCGTGCAGCAATGCAATTAGACTAATTCTAACATTTAACAACAGATATCACCCGAAGATGCTTTCCCCACTCGCTAAAGTGTTATGCGGCTTATGCCGTCAAAGATTCGCCAACATAAAATTGAGGGGTATCAAATACCAAATTACCAATCATTAGCGAAAAGATAGCTGCATTTTAAAAGTGGATATTACTGAAATATTATGATCCTTGATTACAACTTAAGGTTCACACAACTCCATTCCCATGACTTAATAAACTACAGCAATCAAATTTGATCAATTTAGGAAGAAACAACATGAATGGAGCTAATATTAATTAGCCACGAACACCCATCAAGCGGGAAGACCTGCTGCCTCCAACAACTGCTTGGCCTTTGTGATGTAATCATTCATGGAATCATCTGTAGATTTTCCTGTTTACGGAAAAAAAAAAAATCATGCAAGGTAGTGATGAGTAAATTGCAAAGCAGAGAGCTCAAACAGAATGAAATCTGTGCATTATAGTTCTGAGTTGTTATACCTTCGTTACCCTTCCAAGCATCCCATTTCGCCTTTCCTTTTGGATCAAACAAACCAGGGCGTTCTGAAAAATGGGGAAAAAAATAACAGCAAGAGTGTAAGGAGCAGCGCAGGGTTAGATATACACTAGTTCAAGAAAACCAGAAGATAAACGGATGATGAAATGTGTGTATACCGGTATTCACATCTCCAACTGTGGCCTGCTTGTATAACCCATAGAGGATGAGCAGATCCTCATTAGAACAACTAGGCAAGGATTTGACCTTCTCAGCATACTCCTCAAAGTCTTCCTGCAAAATATAACCTCACAAGTTATATTATTAAGCATAGAAGCATGTAGGAACCTATCCCCTATAAGATGAAGACATCAAATATATCTATGCCATTTCGATAACCTTTTCAACACAAATAAAGAAGCAAAACCAAGGACAACACACAATACAAAGATGATATTCCGAGATGGAAACGTGTCTGAGAATCCAATATCATCATAATCTTAGTGTGCATAGATTTTCAATACCAGCTAAATACAACTATACAGGACAGTCTTAGCATGAAACAAAGCCAATCTTTCTACCTTTTAACACTAGCAACACGGGTCAGATTGGCCGCATCAATAGGATGGCTCGGTTAGAGCTCTTTTCGGATGTCAAACCCACCCAAATTGGTTTAAGGACATAACCCTTGGCATTTCGGGGGGCTTGATCTTACAAAGCAAATTGCACCAGTTTTCTTCATCAAATGGAGGGCTAATGCTAGCATACAAGCGAGTTCCTCCGATTATAGTTCATTCAATTTTATAAGGCAATAAAACAATTGCAATGTAATTCACAAATCACAGATCAACCTATTTGATTCACCAGAACAGCATGTCATCAACTAAACCCTAAGGCCATTAAGCAATGAACTCCATCAAAACCATCAATTATTTTCACCACATCTTACTATAAATTAATTTATCATTACTTTAATTCTTCCTTTTTCCAATTCCAGGAGAAATTCTTCAACAATTTTGTGTCAAACATAAAATGATTAAACAATAATAATTATTACAACTTACATAAAATTGATAAAAAAGTTAACATTTCAAGCATTAATCTTGTTCACATCAACAAATCCAGATCTAAAGATTAAATTAAGTAAACAATAAATGAATAATTTAAAAAAATCAGACAATTTCTTGCACAATAAATAAATTCAGATCAAATGTATGAAATCATAGAATTATGAAAATTACAAAGCAAATACAAAATTAACAACATGAATAAAGCTGAGAATAACAATTGAATTGAAAAGAAATTAGAGAAAGATAAACCTTAAGACCCATGATTGATTAGTTGTAGAGTTACTGGATTTTTTCAAACTATCAGGCGATCGGATGAAATACTAGATATCGAGGCTTGAATGATGAAGGTTTATGGGGGAATTGGAGATGGTATTTATAACAGGTTAGCACGAATATAGATAGCGTTATTTTCTTTTACTTTTTTTATAAAAAGTATATGGAAAACGCATATGGTATAATAATAGCACATCACAGTGATCCCGTTTTGCAACATTAAAGATGTCATTGGCTCGTGTTGGATGTATCATACTGTCATTTGTATTTAAGTAGATTAATAAGCTTAAATTTATGATAATTATTCAAAGAGTTAATCCAAGAAGTGACATGGCGTGGTCATTTGACGAATGTACCTAATTTTATACTTTTGTTGTATTTTTTTTATTTTTTTGAAACAAATCAATTCATTAATAAAAAGTCATCTCGCATCTACAAATGAAATCTACATTAACAAATACATAAAATTAAATCAAATTAGGGTTTCCTTCATCAAAGCTACGATCGTTGGAGATGGTATTTTATGGTGTCTAAGTTATGCAAAAATAATCAAAGTAAAGTCAAATTTTTGCATCGTTTTACATATTGTTGAAAAGAAAGGACTATTCTCTATTTTGATTTAAAAGCATACATACATACTTTTAATTTATAAATACATTAAAAGGGAAAACATTCACATAATAAATTAATTTACTCCCTCTTTCTCTCTTAGTGTGTATTATTGAAATATCAAATTTTCATTAATATTTAATATATATAGCAATAAAAAATGGTAATATTGAGAAAAATAGATTAAGCTAGCTTCTTCCTTCGACTGTAACGCCTAATTTGGTACGTCCATTATGTTTCTACTGTCTCGTCATTGAGCCGAATCTGATCCTTAATATGGGCCCATATAAATGAAGATAATTTAACTGGTCTACATCACAAGTTGGTGGTCTACTGGGCTTCCTACTCTAGCTGTATTTACGTTTCCCAACTAACAACAAACGTACAATTAATTAATTGATGGGTAAATGCTGCCTATAACAGTTTAATATCCTTTATTTTTAGTATTAAGTTGGAAATTTATCGACAATTTATGAGTAAATTGGTGTAATAAATGTTTATTTATTGTCTTTTCTTTTCATTTTTAGTTTCTTATATGTAGCACTTAGGACTGCATATATCATTTTGCTTAACTAATTGCACTATTCTTTCTTCATAAATCAAAAATAAAATAAAGTGAAATAAAATAAAAATAATTACACTCTAGTAGCAATTATTTTTCCCAAAACCCACACGTTTACACATAGATTGAATATGCAAGTGATCAAGTTATAAAAAAATAAAAGAGGAAAGAGCTAAGTCTAATATTTGAAAAATGGTTGAAGTAAAGTGTTTGGTTGACTTTTATGAATGGTAACTCTCACTTTAAAAGAAATTGTAAAGTTACCATTATAAAATTATACATTAACAAGTGTAACGGTTAAATCGATTCATATTAGAGGGTAGTTATATATATTATGATCATAATACAACAAGAATGTAACATAGATTTGAAGATACGCAATTTTGTTCTTTTATTAATTATAGTTGGGCTTGTGAAATGGATTTTGGTTTGGGACTGAAATGGGGTTGAACTGTAGGCTTAGATAATAAAACAAATTGGTTTGCTAACAAAAATAAAACCCTCGGACTTTAATATTTGACTGTTGGGAGAATAACCCTAAACTTAAAAGGTGTGTTGATAATTTTATGATGTGAGATCTTAAATATGCTCAAATGATACTTTTGTTATTAATCATTGTAAGAAGTTTTGAAATCAGTAAGATTTATGTCTAGATATATTTAGAATTTGCGATCAACATAAAGATGTGATTGTTTAGAAGTTTTCTTAAATCATGTGAAGTGTTTATTGAATTGTGGTATAAAAATAGAGGTATATGTCATTGTGACTTGTAAATTGGAAAAAACCTATCAACAATTTAAGAGTAAGGTTGTTGTCATAATCTTAATCCACTGGTCATTTGGGAAAAAACCTATGCTTTGCTTTAATTTCTAGGATTTTGGTCTTTTTGAAATCTACAGTACTAAGAAACAATAACATGTATGTATTAAACATGTATATTAAAGTACCTCAATTTTGAATGTTTTCAATCCTCAAATATTTTCAAGTTAATAATAATAATTTTATTTTATTTTTTTTAAATAAAAAAAAACACATTCGGTTACTTTCATTTAGAGGTGATCAAGTCGGGCCCAGCCCGATTTAGGACGGGCTTTGGGCAACTTTTTCTGTACAAATTCTTCTATGGACCCTAGTCCACCTATTCTAGATGGACCACTATTAAACACATGTTTCTTTGAATTAAACGCAACTGCACTTTCTTCTCCTCTTTTTTTTTTTGTTATTTTTTGTTTCCTTCTTCACATGAGCTATTTTTCCCTTTTTAATCTGATTATTTTTATTTCTTTCTCAATTATAATTCTTTGTTTTCTTCAAATTCTTATTTTATCTCTCCTCTGTTCTTTGATTTTTTAAAAAATATTTTTCATTGATTTTCTGCATTAAACATGACGAAAATCGTCATGTTCTTGAAGTGATCAATCTAAGTTAGTTATTCTGAATTCATGGTAACCAATATTGATTTTTTTTTTGTTTTTGAGATGAATTTGTGGATTTAATCCTTGTTTTAATATTATTTGGATTTCTTGAAGCTAATCCAATCGATTTCAATCCATTATGATAGATTTCAATCAATTATGATTGATTAATTGATATTTTTTTTTATTGTTTTCATTAATTTGATTGATTACTTTTATCGTTCTTATTGATTTGTATGAAATTTTATCAATTGATTGTTTCTAAATTAGTTATATGTACCACACCTATACTTTTGAACATTTGGTAAAAAAAAATATATATGAATGATTGCAAATTTTGAACATTTTGTAAAAAAATCTGAACTGAACATCGAAAATTTTGAACATTTAATAAAAATATCTGAACAATCGCAATGTACCACGCCTATACTTTTGAAAATTTTGAAGAAAAAATATTCCGAACAGTTGCAAATTTTGAACATTTAGTAAAAAAATCCAAATTGAACATCAAATTTTTTGAACATTTAGTAAAAAAATCTGAACAATCGAAATGTATCACGCCTATAGTTTTGAACATTAAGTAAAAAAATTTGAACGATTGCAAATTTTGAACATTTAGTAAAAAAAATTTGAATTGAACACCGGAAATTTTGAACATTTAGTATAAATATCTTAAAATCGCAATATACCACGCCTATGCTTTTAGTAAAAAAATTTGAACGATTGCAAATTTTGAACATTTAGTAAATAAAAATCTGAACATCGTAAATTTTGAATAATTAGCAAAAATATTTGAACAATCGCAATGTAGCACGCTTTTACTTTTGAACATTTAGTAAACAAATCTGAACAATTTCAAATTTTGAATATTTTATTAAAAATCTGAGCATAGCACATTTTGAACATTTGGTAAAAATATCCGAACAATCGCAATGTACCACTATACGCCTTGAAATCGATCGGATTAGCTTCAACAGTTCATCTTCATCACTACTTGTAGAATAATTTGTCATGTCTCAAAAAAAAATGGTGAAAAATGTTCTGAAATTATTCACAAATTACAAAAATTTAAATAATTTTAACAAATTACAACAACTTCGAAGGAAATCAAATAACAAATTTAAAGAAATCTAAAGAAAATTTTAAGTTGTTTAGATATTTAATTACCTTTTTCTTGTTTTTCTTCCATGGCTATTCATCAATTGTAGAGGAGATAGATAAGTAGTTGAGCAATTGAAAAATGATCTGAAAGTAATAAAGGAAAGCTATTGCAAAGGAGAGAGATATGTTTGTTGGAGCGAAATAACAAGAAGAACAAAACTGAACAAATTTTGAGAGTGTTTGGGCTGCAAGAATTGAGGTTTGTAGCGTATATGGGCCGGTGGTCCAGGGTCTATAATAGACTATTTGCTTTTTCTGGCCCTAAATCAGGTTGGGCCTGACCCGAATTTCTAAAAAAAATTGGGCGGGCCTGGGAAGATAATTTTATGCAATTTTTGTTATATTTTTTTACTGGCCCGAAAAGCCCGCATTGTCCACCTAGCTTGGGCGGGTTTGGGCACACATTTTCCGCTCTAGTTCGATAAATGGGCATATTTTTTTACCGTGGTCCGACCCGCCTATTGATCACCTCTACTTTCATTCAATGATGATAAGTTAGTTTTTTTTATTTTTTTTTTTAAATATCACATTCTGGTACAATAACAAATCAAACAATTAGGTATGTGTTAGGTTGATGATATAAAAAAAAAAAAGTTAAAACTAACTCAAACCTAATCTAACGGAGCTTGTCTTAGCCCTCTATGGTGCACATACTCCTAATTCTTACGTTAGGGTCAGCTGGTAGTTTATATGCATACCAACAACATAAGAGCATATCCAGTGGTAAGGTACAATCTCCTGTAGCTTACCTTGCCTATAAGATGTTTAACCTAGTATATCTTGTAACTTCAAAGTGTTCCATTGGTAAATTGGAAGAAAAATAAATAATAAAACAGTCACAAAAAGTATTTATAACATGTTATGAGTACTACTTAATGAGCAACAAGTTTTCTTATTTTTTACTCCTTAATAGATTAGTGGCCTGTTCTCTTACGTTGAAATTCAGCTCAGTTCAGTTCAACTCATTTCAGTTCAGTTCAATTCAGTTCGGTTCAGTTTAGTTCAGCTCTTAATTTTCTTCTCTTATAAAATATTCATTTCATTTCAGTTCGGTTCAGTTCAGCTGAGTTCAGTCAATGAGAACAGGCCCTAAGTCATGGCCCCTTGTGAGAAGACGATCCAATTTTTCCCGTGTATTTTACATTAAAAGGCGTTCCTAAAAACGTTTATACGTGACATAGACTCCTTCATTTCGCCACGTCACTTATTCAACTTTTTATCATGTCATATCATCCACTCAACACCTCAATATATCACGTCATCCACACAACCAACAATTATTTTTTTACCGTGCACAATATATAATATTATACTACAAAGTATTGAAGACACATACTACATAGTACATACAAACTATTAAATGCTCTTAAAAATTAACAGTCGCGTAACTA